TCTAAGTAATAAATTTTGTTTTCTTATAAATCACCAAGTTCAGGTATTTCTGTTATAAGCAACGGAAACAGACTAATACATTATCCTAATTAACAATGTTTATATTAAGTGTTCTCTATTCAAATAACACATATGATGTCTTTTTCCTGACTAAACCTTGACTGATACAGAAATTGGTAGAGGAGTCCCAGTAAACAAATTTTCAAAGATGAGAGTTTGAGATTGGTTTAACTGTATCTTTTGACTTGACCACATTGCTAGGCTCATTGCTAACAGGAAATAAAATGTTGTGATCCATTGCACAAGGTGGTAACACCGTTAGTCAGTTATTATTACAACTTATTTGATTGTGGAATTTTTTGTTAAAGGGAGCATAATATAGGACTAAAATTCAGTAGAACAAACTTTTGAAAATGCTAGCTTAGCTATACTTCTCTATTCAATGTATCTTCCCTAAATGCATCAAGTATGTTCAAGTTGCTGTTTATGTTTTCTCTAAATTGACAAGTTTTATCATTTGAGGTTCAGTTCATATTGCACTTTAAGTGTTTATAGTTTTACCTGACAATGAACACAGCTCCCTCCCCAAAGGAACTAATTGGTTGTATTACGTTATACATGCTTCTAATACGGTCATTGTCACATTTTATGAATAGCTGTTTGTTTACATATCTGCCTAGCTCACTAGAATTGGACCATTTTAAGGGAAAGTTCTTGTCTGATTCATGTTTGTACCTCCAATGTCAGTCAGAGTGCCTGGTATATGGCAGGTACAATTAAGTTGTATGGGTATCATTCACGAGAATGGTTATGGAGGCTAGCTATATTTATTCACTTAAGAAAAATTTGAGCATTTTGAATTTGCTGCCCAAAAAGAGTGTAAAAAGACATTCTTCATTATTTGAAATGAATTGTTTATAGTAATCTTACTATGCCTTACAATTTCCCCCCAAGAGTAGGAACTTGTTTCCTTTTTTTTTTCCATTTTACAAGTTTGTTTACTTTAGATAGACAAATAAATTCAGTTCAACTGAGCATATATAAAAAAGCATATATTGAGCAATTACTCTGTTCCAGGATACACTAAGCCTTAAGTACACCAATATGATATATATAAATGCTCATAGTTCAATAGGGAGACAGTCACATTCAAATAAATTTGAATATAAATGTGATAAGTACACTAATGCAAGTATACACAAGTTGAGGAGTAATTTAGCAGAGAAGAAAATAAGCTCTTTATGAGGTGGGATATGAGAAAAGACTTCCCAGAGATTTCTTAACTGGAATTTGAGGATGGAAAAGGAGTTTCCCAAGCAGAAAAGAGGCAGAGGGCATAAATAAAAGCATGGAGGGGGAAAAACAATTAGCAAAGTTTTGGAAAAGTAAAAGCATTTTCAGGAGCAGTAAGCACTAGACAGTTCGTGGCAGAAAATAAGGTTGGAAATTTAGGCAAAGGCCAGATCATGAGAAGACCCTTAAATATCATTCTAAGGAACTTGGACTTATCCAGCAGGTGATGGGGAGCCAGAGATTACAAATACCATTTATTTTTCCTTTTCTGTACTAGGAAAACTTTGTATTATCACACAAACATTAGTTGAGTACATATAATATCTCAGGCATTTTACTGGGCACTGGAGTATTTAATAGAGTTGTGCCTTTAAAGCTCATCAAAAAGGATATTTTTGTTGATAAAGTAGATAGTGTAGGTTTCATTCATAGTTTCTATCCTACCAATTGATTCTTAGCATAAATTGCAGGACAGTATCACTAACTCTATTAATTAAACCAACACCAATATCTTGAATCATTTCTGCCAGGCAGCAGATTTTTCAGCAACACACTTCATAAACTGTAATTAGTTTTCTATAAAAGGCAAATTATTTCATTCATTCCTTTTCTAAATTTCATATCTTTTACTATATTTTATTATACATTAATATTTATAAATTTCTATTTGGAGTTAGCCCAAAAGAATTACCATCTTTTCAGTCTACAAACTCTTCTATTTTAAATAGATTTTCTATTATAAAAGAAGAAAATAAGAAAAATTTCCAAAATGAAAGTAACAGGCATCAGGAAGGTGTAAGAAAGATCCTTAGAAAGAAAAAATAATGCACAAGTTAAATTCTAAGTATTACCTAAGTAGGAAATACTAAGAGGAGTAATTCAAGTGCAAGTCTGGATACTGAATCACAGAATTATGTAGAGAACTGATATACAAATCAAGTGGCCATCAGTTAATTCTACATCAGGGGTCCAAGGAACAAGAAAAATTCGAAATTTTAAAATCAGTGATTGAAAAGTAGAACTATCATATGATCCAGCAATCCCACTGCTGGATATTTATCCAAAGGAAAGGAAATTAGCCTACCAAACATATATCTGCACCCCCATGTTTATTGCAGCACTATTCACTAAATAGCCAAGACATGGAATCAACCTAGGTATCCATCGACAGATGAATGGATAAAGAAAATATGATATATATATATACATACACACACACATACAATGGAATACTACTCAGTGAAAAAAAAAATGAAATCCTGTCATTTTTGGCAACATGGATGAGCCTGGAAAACATTTTAAGTGAAATAAGGCATGGAAAGATAAATGCCACAAGTTCTCACTCATACATGGGAGCATAAAAAAAAAGTTAAACTTTTAGAGGTAGAGAGTAGAATCGTGGTGATTAGAGGATGAGAAGGGGAAGGGAGGAAGACAGTGAGAGGTTAGTTAATGGACACAAAATTACAGCTAGATAGGAAAAATAAGTTCTAATGTGGTACAGTAGTGCCAGGCATCAATAATTCACAATTTATTTTATGTCCTCAAATGGCTAGAAGGAAAGAGCTCAAATGTTCTCTTTAAAAAGAAACGATAAATTTTTATGGTAATGAAAAAAAAAATCACACAAGTACATGGAAAATGTTAAGGTAGAGATTTTATCTCAACCACTGTATGCCCAGCAAATAAAACAATGCTGGGGAATAAGTGATTTATTTTCTCTCATTCGTTTGTATTTTACATTCTCTCACATATATAAAAATAATATTTATATTTGTGATTATGTCAATGTCTTGCTCCTAATTTTGTCTATTATTATTATTTGTGTGTGTGTGTGTGTGTGTGTGTGGCTGGCCAGTTCTAATTGAGTTAACTGGCCAGCCCTAATTTTGTATATTTATGTTTTCTCCCATTTTATTTTGATTAGACCAACTAATTGTTTGCCTATATTTTCAATAAAAATGCTATTAGATTTTCTAATTCATTACTTTCTGGTTTTGCTTATATTTTGTTTTTCCTTTGGCCTTACTTTGGCTTATTTTGTCATGTTTCTAATTATTCAGATAGTTGATTTATTTGGTTTTTTTATTTCTTGTTTCACAATAAAACCATTTAAAGCTAAAAAAAAAATCAATGATGGCAAAGAAAGGAAAGAGCAGCACCTTGTTAAAGGTGGTATTCTTTTAATGTACAAAGCCTATTCCTAAATGTGTTGCACATCAGTGTCCTGCATATTTGAAAAAAATATTTCACATCTTGATGAAAACAAATGATTTGAAACTGATTGCTAGTTTGGCACAGAACAAAAACTTCCAGTTACCCCATTACAATTATTCTCCATTAACAAGAGAACCAAAGGCAAAGACAATGTGCTAATTGCAAAGAATCACGAATTTTGGTTAGATATGAGCATTAGTGGGTTGAATGAGGGGGTTGCTCAATTTTGGATTGGACATTGTTAAGTCTTTCTGTCTCTACACAGAGGCTGGACTATCAGCTACTGTATCTTGATGTTAACAAGGGAACAGACAAGGTTTCTCAAGATCCTGTCAAGCCTGGTGATCCCACAAGTCTTTGGAAATGAAAACCTAATTAAGAGGCTCCCTAGGGGTAGGTCAAAGGAGCTCTTTCATCTTTACTGACCTTATCCCAGTTCCTTGATTCCTTATTCCTCCTCTTTCATTCAGCCTACTCTAAAACTAAAGAATACCTATTGTGCACGTTTCCACCTTTGCTTTCTCTATGGTAAATGCATTAGACTATTAGAATTAAGGTCTGAAATCCCTGGTTCCTTATCTTTAAACTGACAGATATTTTTTTCAAGTACTTTTGAATAGAGGTTAACACTAAAAATTCTTCTAAAAGTTTTTTCAGTGGGATAACGTTTTCTAAAAGTGTCAAGTCTGTCTAAAAGATTATAAAGTCCTTCAAACATCTTCATAATAAAGCTGTCTGATAAATAGTGCTTTGTCAAATTTCAATTTGGTTTTACGTCCTCCTCGTTTCAAAGACTGTGGTTGCATGAAATTACTTGGTTTAAATTCCCGTTGGATTCATATTGATAGTGTTTCACTTCTTTGAAACAATTTTAGGGTTGAGCGTCTCTACAGTTACCACCCAAAGAATAGCAACTGATACACGTTTTAAAACTTGACATAAATTATTTTGCAGACAGTCATTAATGTCATTCTCTTTATAGTAAAACGAGCCATAATGGAGCACTTTTATTTTTCTTTTATTTTCCCCTCCCCCGCATGAAAAACTTTGAACAGCTGTGTAGAGATGAAAACGTTGTATCCAATTATGGCAATTCCGTGTGAAAAAGTTTTCCAATGTTTAGGCACCACTCCATCCCTGACCAGCAATAGTGCCCCAGAGTACTCCACACAGCCATGTTAAAATTTCAACTTTTAATGTTGGGGCTCAAACTCTCATATTTAACTGTACGTCTCCTCTTACCAACATTCATAAGGAACATCTGCGAATCGAGGTAGGCTTCACGATGCTAGCACTTGACAGACCACGACTTCAGTCACCTCACAAATAGAGCATCTACTCAATCTCTAGTCAGCAATTACCCGCTCCGGATCCTCGGAGCAACGCTATGGTAGCTCCTGATTGGTGTATGTATTTGTCAGTCACATAGAGAGGGTGGGGCCTCAATGCCCCGACCTAAACGAGGCGCTGTGTTTTTACGTCACCGCCGAGCGACGAAAGCCGGAAGAGGGAGGTGGTGGGATTGTGCGCGAACCTCGGTGGTGGCAGGGAGGGCCTGCGAAGTTGTCATGGCCGCTGCTACCGAGCTTAGTAGCCCGAGCAGCAGTGACAGAAGCTTGGAACAAAGCTGCAGCTCCAACCTCTCCCGGGAGGTGCTTTGCGAAATCTTTCGGTCCCTGCACACCCTGGCCGAACAGGTGAGTGGTAGCATTTGGGATTGGGGGTGTGGGAACCAATCTGGTCCCACTCCCCACCCCCTTTATTCCTTTAGCGGTGACGGGAGTGGGGGGCAGCAGAGGCCTGCCGGCACGCGGCCCCGGTAGCGGAGGCCGGGGAAGGAGCCCGGGCCCAATCCTCCCGGCAGAGTGAGAAGGACGGCTGTGTCCACTTAGTTCAGCACGGGCTGCAGACTAGGTTACCTTGTACCTGTCCTCCCCGGGAGTGAGTGAAGATGGTCTAAGTGAAAACCCGGCTCCGAGAGGAGCAGGCTTGGAGAAAATGCGGAAAAGGCTCACTGTGGGTTTAGTTCCTGTCCTTTTTCCTCGAACTTACTCGTTATATAAGTTGGTTGGTCAGTACGGCCTGAGATTTTTGGAAAAGTGCTCTCTCCGCATTTTTAGGGTAACTTGCTCTTCTGAGTCACTTGGTTTTGTTTATTTCTTTTTTCCTTTTGGCCGTTGTGTACATCTGTTACTCTTTAAAACGGGGAGGGAAGTAAAAGGAATTATTCTAACTCCTAGTGTAAAATTGGATGTTATCCATGGTTTGGCTTAGAATTGTTTAACTAGTTGTTTGCATTAGAATTGTTTAACTAATTGTTTAACTATTAAATAGTTTAACTGGCTGATAGTCGCTTTTGCAGAAATGTCATAGTAAAACTGAATTTTAAAAAATGGGCTCCTTACACTTTATTCCATCAAGTCACTATTTCGTTTCATGACGGAAAATTCAAAGCAAATTTTAAATGAGAAACAATTTGGAAGTATGTTCGTTCGCCGGCTTTTTAAAAAGAAATATTTTCTTTCATGCCTTACGTGGACTATTTTGTAGCTATAAAAGTTTGTTCTGGGGCTGGTACTAGTGCATGTAATACACTAGGCATTTGTGTCAAGGTAATAGTAAATACCTGTGAAAATAGATCGTTAGTCTGATTTGTGAAAAAGTATTTTGAAAGCCTTGAGTGGATGGAGAATCAATCTTTTCAAAAGTTATTTCAGTATTTTAAAAAAAAATAGTATGTTTATTGTGAGTTACAAAGAACATAACTGTAAGTTAAACATTCAGTTTTGTGTAATGAAGCGATTATGAGTAAAATCTCCTAAAAGATAACTTTTAAACTCTGTTGTTTGCCAAGGACTTACCAAAAAAATGTTTCTAAAGACTTGAGGAGTCCCCGCACTGGCCAGCACCAAAAAATTTTTTTAAATTAAAAAATAAAATAATAAAAACTTGGGAGTTTTAGTTATTAACATTTCAGTCTTAAGACCCAAGACTTTTAAATAGTTTAAAAGTTAGAGAACATCTTATGGCATGGACATTAAAACTTTAAAGTTTGTTCATATTCTGATGTCAAGATGAAAAAAATTTATGCTAACCTATTATTTACAAAGGTTTTTTTCACTGATGGGATATTTTTTTAAATGAACATTGAGAAATGATTTAAACATTTCTTTTGAAATATTTGGCATACTGAGTTTTTCAAATTCATTTAAAATTTTTAAACATTCAGTATTCTAAAGATGCAAATACAGAAGTGATTAAAATTCACTTATGTCACATGTCAAAAGTGTTTAGAATAGACATTTGATGAGTTTACTGTAATACAGTGAAGCACCTTCTATACAAGGGTCAAAAATAAGATTGTCATATCAATTAAATGCTAACCATTTTGATAATACTCTGTATTTTGAGATATATTAAGAATGAAGACCAGAGTACCACACTTATAAAATTGCCCCTGGAGAATCACTATTTCCTTTAGCAACAAATTTAAAGGATTCTTAAAATGTGTGTTGTAATATGCCTAAATTCATACTGTGTCATCCTGTGTATCATTAGATTTCCTCAATAGAAAACATAAAATTGAATTTTAAAAGATATATTCTATTCCAGATAACAAAGCTTACTAATTTTAACCTTTTTGCTTGCCTCTGGATGGCCCTTTTTAGCAAGCTAAAGAAGTATTTATTTTTAGATTGGATTTTCATATTCACTTAATAGTTTTTACTGAAAATGTGTATTTAAATAGTCTATTTTAATAGCAGACTAATAAGAGATTTTCAAGTTAGTGGTTTACTATTCCAAGTTCTATAGCATAAAAATGCATAGAATTTATATTTCTAATAGGGAATTTGTTGAATGAATAGTTGGCTGCATTGAGATAGTTTTAAAATTAATTTGTGACATAATTATATGCTTTTCTTAAAAGACCTAGTATCCTTAATTGCACTTGAAAGCTTACATAATTCTGCTGAATTGAAGAAAGAATATGATTCAAACATTATAATTTATTAATTTCTTTAGGAAATGTGATGCTTTGCTTTAGTTGAGGATGTGCCTGTTTTATCTCTAAATCATATTCGTAAATTTGCTATAATCAACTGTAGATCTCTTTGGAGACTGTAAAAATGTGGTAATGGGTTACTTCACACATAAGTTTTTGTCTAACAAAATCTTTATAGGTATTAAGGTAATATAAATTAAAATTAATGCATTAATTAAAACAATTTTTTTTTTTTTTTTGCCAGTATGGGTATCCAAACCCTTGATCTTGGTTTTATCAGTACCACGCTCTTCCAAGTGAGCTTATTGGCCAGCCCTAATGCATTAATCTTAATGGAAACTCTTAATTAAATTAATATAAACTAATCCTTGCCAGCATAGCCTATGTAAACTTTTTTTTGTATTTCTTTATTCCTGTCTAATACAGTATTTAAATACTTCTGGTGTCATGTTCAAAGAGCGATTAATTTTTGTCACAATAGTATTCATTCAATATAGTGCCTTTTTTTTTGGTAACCTTGGATCTCTTTGTTTTCCTGTACAGTAAGTAATCTATTTGTTTTATTATAATTATAACTCATAAGGTCTGTATTTGAACTCATGTAACACTTACCTTTATTTTGTTGAAAACATAAATAATTTTTAATAAATTATTTCTGAAAAATAAAATGTAATTAACTTGACTCTACTATGGAGTATATCCTTATACTATGCTATAAACACATGTCCCTAGAAAAGTTTATGGTGGTTCTCTTTTATTCACTCAAAAGACTGCAGATGGAGGCTGTCACTCTAAAATTTTCACTGTTTTTGATATTAATTTTATGTTCAGGTTCTTGGTAGTTTTCTGGATATGATTTATTCTAATAGATCACAACTGATAAGAATTTTTCACATCTTACTAGAAAGTAGTATTTAGCAAAAGATCCGGACATTCCATTCATTTTCTGGCAATTTGTTTCATTATTGTGGGGAAATATTTGTTTTTCCATATCAGACTTCCATAGCTAAGTAATAGTTTAATTTTTATTTGGAACAGATAAACATGTTGCCATTTATTCCTAGACTTTAGTTGTATGTATAACCTTGATTTTTAAATTATTTTAAAAATTGGTTAATCTCGAAAACAAAAATGTGATTCAGAAGACATCAGGATAATGATATATTTAAGGGATGTATTTGTGTAAGTATTTAACAAAGAAAAATATGCATATTAGAACTTTTGTGAAATGGTTGTGCCTCTTCTGTTTAATGCTCTGAACTAGAAGTAGTAGGATTGTGAATAAGGCAAGCCTATTTTGGACCCCATCCAAAGGTTTTTAGATATTGAAGTATCAAAAGAGCCTTTATCTTTTCATCTTTCGTGGATGATTTCACCTCTAAAATGGTCCCATTACAGAGACCCAAGAATAGAATTAGAATGACATGTCATTTTGTTTTGTTTTTTGCAGATTATGAACATCTGCACCTTTCTTGGCCTTTTAAAATGGTAACTAGGTAGAGCATTTTAGTGTATCTTTAGAAACTTGATAACTTTGAGCAAAATAGGCATGTGTTACTTTATAGAAATCTTATTTTTATGTCAATCCCATATGTACAGCTTAATCGTGTAATTTTTGTGATGTTGCTGGTTTGCCCCTTTGAAGCTTAACCTCAGAGATGATGTGGTGAAAATTACAATCGATTGGAATAAGCTCCAGAGCCTCTCAGCATTCCAGCCTGCATTGCTCTTTAGTGCACTTGAGCAACACGTTTTATATTTACAGGTAAATTTCTCATTAGAAATGTTAACTCGACATTGAAAATAAAAATTAATTGTGGTTAAATTAGCTGGACTATTTGTCCATTCTATCTTAACGCTACATTAATAGTGTTATTAGTAAAAGGTTACTTACATCCAGATGAGACCTAAATCTGTTCATTTCAGGAGTGATCAGAACAGATATAGGAATATAGCCCAATAGGCTGATGTGGGGGTGAAATTGAATGAATGCAGTTCTATTCAATTCTAGACTTGCACTGAAAATTCAATACAGTTCCATCTATGGTGGGTTATAATTAAGCAATAAGACACGGCAGGTGTGTGTCATGCTATGATAATGATTCTATGCCTTGGGTGAGTTTGGAGGCTCATGGAGTGCTTTCAGTGGTTCAAGAAGTGGCATTATCCCAGCATGACACATCCTGGAGTGTCTATTGCAATTAAACAGTTTCAGCATAGTTTTTAAAAAGAAAGTAATTTCGGTGACATTAATGTCTCATCTTAGTAAGTAGCCAGTCGCTATTTTATCTTTTTCTTAACAACTTGAAATAATTCATCCTTTATATTGGAAGTCAATATTGAATTGTTATTTATATTAGTATCATTATATTTTTTAATATTTCAGTTCAATAACTGAACAGTATTATGAACTTGCATGTTTTTAATTAAACATCTCTGCAATTATAATTGATGTAGTTTGCAGTTTATCTCTAAATCAAAGTGTAAAATGTGAAGTGTCAAAAAGATAAAAGGAAGAACTGTTTGAATTGGTCAGTTTACAGTGATTAAGGTGTTATAAAGTTTCAGAAGAGTATTTGGTATAGCAAACAATGGAAGCAAAATTGTAGGTGTGAAAAAAATAATTGAACATTGATAAGTGTTGGTCTATTTTGACTTATAGAATAGCATTAATTTTCAGTTCTCCATTCAGTGACTTTGTGGGAAAATTTAACTCTGTGTTTCATGTTAAGGTAATAACCCAGTTTTTAAAGGGCAGAGCAATGAACTATAGAATTCAAATGAGGCTTAATGGCAGCAGAGTGTGATGGGGTGGGGGTAGGCAGTAAATGAGTAATATAATTTTTATTATACAACAGGGGTTTTTTTCCCCTTTAGTGATAGGCATCTGTTTTCAGCTATGGATCTCAGGAGATTTTTTTTCCTTGTTCGTTTTCTTTTTTAAAATTTAATTTCATGACCCAAGAAGGTATCTTGCCATTCAGGAAAAGCCTGAGTGTTCACTCAGCCTAACACCTATATATTTCATGTCTGTGCTCTCTCATTCACTTTGGCCAACTGCAGTTTCAAGTGGAGAATCTCCAGTGATATAGTGATAATGCAGGGCTTTGCTGAGTGAAAGCACTGGCTCTCATGTTAAGGAGGAAAAATACTAAGCCTTAGTGTTCTGAGAAGGCATTTGAATGACATGTTAATTAAGTGGCATTGGTGCCAGAGGCTGAAGGCTTTGATTTGGCACAAAATAAAAAATGAGTGACAGAGTGATTCCCTCAAAGAAAATTTTAAATTTCCTCAGGTTTTCTTCTTTTCTTTCTTTGAAACAAATTTATAGTAAATAGTAATGGTTGCAATAGCAGAGAACAGCAAACACTAATACGTGGTCAGATCTATGTATCCTAATGTACTAATTTTTTATATTCAGTAAGTGATATTAAATATTTCATTTACTTAGCAGAAATTTATATAAATATATTAAATATGTAATTAATTTTGATTAGTTTGAAACCTAGCAGATGGAATTGTGTTCTTCTCAGCCTTTTCTAGCAAAACTTCAGCCTCTGATTAAAGAGGAGACTAAAACTACTATTGAAGAAACAGGAAAAACAGAAACGGGGAACAAGAATGAATTAAATGCCACATTTCCCAATGGTGACCTACAAGAGGAAGAAAAGCACAAAGATCATGATTTAGGAGATGTGAAAAAAACACAGATCCATTTTGATCCAGAAGTAGTTCAAATAAAGGCTGGAAAAGCAGAAGTAAGTTTTTTGGGGGGGGCAGGGGGGTGGTTATTACTTTTTCAAATCTTATTATGTTGATTTACATTGTTAAAACATATTTGTTTGTAGATTGACAGACGAATATCTGCATTCATTGAAAGAAAGCAAGCTGAAATCAATGAAAACAACGTCAGAGAATTTTGCAATGTTATTGATTGTAATCAAGGTAACTATGTAGAAGTTAATTTTTATAGGATTTAAGCACAATTTTTACAGTTGCTTGAATCTTTTGTTTGCTTTTAAAAATGAATAACATTGAGAACACAATTCAGTTTATTTCAGAGGTTTAGTTAGTAACTAAGGCAGTGGAATGTTCTTCTGTTTAATAATAGACTTTTGCAAAACTGGTTTTCATCTTGGTTACACAAAAGTCAAATATGTGTGTACATAAAAAGGCTCATGTTTACCACAGCTGAAAAGATTATTTTAATGTTCCTATAGGAAATGAAGGTGAAGTGTGGGTGGCAGGGTTGCTCAGTCTCACTAGTAAGAAGGAACTGAGTTGTATACATTTCATGCCTATAAATGTAGCAGTGAAATTATGATTTTAATACATAAAGTGAACTTAGTGAAGTTAGTATTCCTCAAGAGGAAGCAGTTTTCTCACTACTAGTGAGTTGTTTGAAATGTTTTATGTTACGATACAACCAGTTTGTCATGAAGACCATGTTGTCTTAATGCTCCCCCCGCCCCCCTCCCGGTAGTGCATATCACACATTTGCTGTTTTTCATCAGATTCTCCTTTCCCTCTCTACTTGATGCTATAGTACATTTACAGATCTGCAAGTATGCTGCAGAATGCAAAATATTCCAAAGCACTGCCATAGATCATATTCAGGCATCATAGTAATAATCAGAACAAGTAGTTCTTAGAAAAAATTATGGAGAAGAGTTCATAATTGGGATGATCATTTTTCTTGTTGCCTCTGGTATCTCCTTGCTAATTATTATGAACACAGAATTGTCAGATGAACCTTGAAGTGACTCATATCACATTGGTACACTGATTCTCTTAATAGTGAAATAATATAGGCTCAGGTTGGGTCCTAAATTCAGCTTTTTCTGTTATTAACATTGTATATGTATACCTTTAAATTTTGTGTATTTTTCTGTTAGCTTTCAGAACAGGTGCAACAGTGGCAAAATCTCAGGTACTGCAATCCAACTGCAAGCAACCCATGAGAAAGGGTTTGTTGAGGGAGCAAGCACATATGTCACTAATGTTATTCCTCTGTTCTCCCTGCTAAGTCTATTATTATAAACCACCAGGGGATAGAAATTGACAAGAATTGAAATGCTCAGCAGGATTCCTTGGCCTATTCAATCCCTTGCTGGCTCAAAACAGTGCTAGCAAGAATTGCTGTAGAGAGTAACTAACACTCATACATTCACTGTCTTCACACCATGCTGAATTTCTCACTGATGGGTCAGTTAATCTATATATTTGGAATATAGCTGTAGAATGGATGATAGCTCCTTTTTTTTTAACCCTTAGCCCCATGAAGTAGTAGAAAGAAAATGGAGAAGTGATGGTCCTTTAAACATATTTTGAGGTGTCTCCAAAAAAAGAAAAAATGACTCTGTTTAATCTCTAGATATAAAACATAAATAAATTTTAGAATTTTATTTACACAATTTGACTTATCAACAGAACTAATAAGAAAACTTAGACTAAAAAAAAATATGTGCGTCTTAAAGGTTAGGGTTTTCCTTTTGATATCTCTCAATTTGGACCAAAATGTAAACAATTGATTTTTTAAAAATCAAATTCCACAGAGAAAAAAAAGAATTTTCTCTCAGTATCTCATTTACCATTTTTTTTACAAAATCATCAAGGGAATTTTACAAGAAATTTACTGCCAATGCATGGTTTTACTAATGTTACCTCAAACATCAGTATATATTATTACTATATTATATATTATGTTAAAATATATGTTAATATATAATTATATTAATATAGAATATTAGTAGTATTAAATATTATGTGAATATCTTTCCAATTTTCCCTCTTCATAATTTGTTGATATCTAATTTGAAAGAAACTTTACTTTTTAGCTTGAAAAAAAAGGGAACAAATTTTCACAACATATCTTTCCTCAAACTGCAGTTTTTGAAAGAGGTAGGGTGGGTAGAAGTAGATGACTTTTGTCGTTACTTTTTAGCTTGAAAAAAAAGGGAACAAATTTTCACAACATATCTTTCCTCAAACTGCACTTTTTGAAAGAGGTAGGGTGGGTAGAAGTAGATGACTTTTGTCATTAGGGGTTTTTTAAATGAGCATTGAAAATCTAGGTAGAATGGACAGGTATGTACTGTTTGAGGTTTCAAAGTCTTTTTTGTGTGGAGTTCTGAAATAAGAAGGTGCTAAATGTATAATTAATCCATTTTAATAGATATTCACTAAGTTGGTCAATAATATCAAAAATACTGGAAATTAAAAATAAATTAAGTAAAAATGATGTTCTATTTTTATGATGAAGTGAAATTAAAATACTTCATAATATGTAAATTATTTTCTCCAAAGGCCCAAATTGTTTTTACAGATGTTGGTTTTTATTAAATATTGTATTAAATTATGCCACTTAATGTTGATATCTTTTCTGTATGTAAATCTGAACATTAGACAAGAATATTTGATATTAGGATACATATTAGGATATTAGAGGGTAAAGAAGTTCACTAAATTCTGTCCTGTATATGATGGTAATTTAATTATTATTACTATTATTTATTATTTAAAATTATATTCTCTCGTTATTAGTGATATGTTAATATGAATTATTGAAAGTTTATCAAAATCTCATACATTTGAAATTAAGAATATATTTAAACTTATGTTTATCTAAATTCTCCTTAGAAAATAGTTGTGCAAGAACTGATGCTGTTTTTACCCCTTTCCCTGGATTTAAAAGTCATGTAAAAGGTAAGTAATCACAACATATGATCTTTGTCTCTGACAAAAGCTTATTCTAGAATTTTAGAAAAAGGAATATAAATAACTCTTCTATCTAAACTTTGCTTATTTTAAAACCGAACAAAATATCTTGCCTTTCTTCATACCTGAGTTTGTGGTTAGGTCTTTATGAAAGAACGTAAGTATTGTTAGGGAGAGAGAATTTCTGATTTTTGAAATATAAATTTACTAAGGCTCAAAAGTTTCTTCACTTAGTTTCTAGAGTTGTGAATACATATGGACCACAGACTAGACCTGAAGGAATTCAAGGGTCAGGTCATAAACCTAACAGCCTGCTTCGAGATTGTGGTAATCAGGCAGTAGAAGAACGACTACAAAATATTGAGGCTCACTTACGGTTGCAAACAGGTAAGCAGAGTGCTAGGTGGTGCCCATCATGTTTCTTTGCAAGTGGATAAAGAAATTCCAATTCGTTTAGTCACCAAATTTTCATTGAGCACCGGTCATGTATAAAACATTGTTCTGGTTGCTACAAAAATCTATAAAGTATGGTCCCTACTCTAAAGGAATTTCGCAGTTCCTGTTTAGGCTCTCTCCCTCCTCTCACACTTTTTCCCAGTTTCTAAAACTAAAACTGAAAGATTGCTGGTAGAATGGGAATAGGTTCCAAATAGATCCTGATGGCCTCAGTTCATTGAAGTCACAGCTGAAAACTAATGTAGTTTTTTCCTACCACCAATTCATTACTTACCATGACCACCTCTCATTCTTTTCCCCCACTGTGTTAGGTACAAAGTATTGATAAATGTGTCCTAGTCCTCAAGGATCTCACAGGATAAGCATATAAATAAATAAATGTTGTAGGGAGAGTGAACTAGCACGTATTGAACAATACCAAGTGCCGGTCACTCTGAAAGTGTTATGCACATGTCAGCTCACTTAATACTTAACCCCTTTTGAGGTATTGGTGCTGTTATCATTGTACAAATAAATAAACTGAAGTTCAAAGAGCTTAAGCAACATGCCCAAGATAGTGACAACTGGTAATTAAACCAAAATATTAATTGGCTGCAAAGCTTGAGTCTCCCTCCCCATTTAGTCACCGTGTCCTATTGATTCTGCTTTTTAAACATCTCTAGGATCTGCCCACTTCTCTCTCCACAGCTACTAATGTAGTTGAAGCCACTATTATCTCTGCCTTGAACTGATGGAAGGCTATTAACTGGTTTTTTTTTGCGGGGGGAGGGTGGGTGCCACTAGACTTCCTCCTCTAGAACATTCTTTACCCTGTAGCCAAATTGCTTTTTCTAAAGTTCAAGTCCAGTCCTGTTTATCCCCAGCTAAAAACTCTGTAATGGTTTTCTCTTGCCCTTACATGTTTATCAAACTTAGTATTTGTTCATTCAACAAATAGGTATTAAGCTCCTACTATAAGCTGGGCACTGTTCTCAATGCTGAGAATACATCTGAACAGAAATTCTAGTTGAGGGGGACAGATGGTATAAATAATAAATTATATGGTATGCTAGAATAGAAGGGCTACAGATAAAAGCAACTTGATCAAGAAAAGGAAAAGGAGATTGAGACTGAAGGGGGTTATAATTTTAAATGGTATGGTTTTACCCTCTATTTCCAGCCACATCTCTGGGTTTCCCATCTCCTCGTTTTGCTGCCCTAGGGGCTTTATACCCATGCTTTTCTTTCTGCCATGTTTTTCCTTTCTGACCCCAGACCAGTGTGAACTCCCCTTTTATGTAGTCTCATTGCCCCTGGTACTCCCTTAAAGCAGCACCTCCTTTAAAGCAGCTATCATGGTTCTGTTTGTTTAATGTCTGTGTTCCCTGGTACATACTAAGGTCTATGAGAGTGGAACTGTGTCAAGTTTATTACTTTGTACCTAGTACAGTGACTGACACAAAGCAGGTGCTCAAATGTTTATTGAATGAATAATTGCTCATTTCACCATTTCAGATATGTGCCTAGTACAGTGGGACACAAAGTTAGTGTTCAGCTTTCTCAGGGGCGGTCAAGGAATGGCATCCCTAATGAAGTGAAATTTAGGCCCTTGAAGAATTAGTAGGAATTTTCCCAAAACAAAGCGTTCCAAAAAGACAACATCATCTGCTAAAAGGATAAGGACACTAAATATAGTTCAGGGAATTTCTGAAGCCAGGCTAGCTGGAGTATTTGCTGGGTGGAGGTAGAAGAAGAAAAGAGAATGAGTAAGTCTCTGAGAGTAATAAGACGTTAGCATTAAGAATTAATCCCATCTCCCAGAAGTAGATGGATTTAATATGAATCTGTATAAAAGGATTGACTGGTTAAGTCTCTAATCATATCAGGTAGTTAATTCTTTTGAAAAATATCTGTTTAATGCTTACTATGTGCCAAGAACTATTTTGGGCACGAGGAATACTGAGATGATGTAGTCATAGTCTCTGGTTTCAAGGACTTTATAATCTAGGTGGCAGGAAGATTAATAGTAAAGTAGAATTTTAAAGGGGCAGTGAAGAAGACTATGGGGAGAGGACACAACGATCCTTCATGTGAAAAGGTTCAGACAATGATTCATGGACCCAGTAAAGCTTGAACCAGCTCTTGAAAGGTACCAGGGTAAGGCAGAGGACATTCTAGGTGAAGGGAGCAGCAAGAGCAAAGCCAAATGAACAAGTTATTCATTTTACCCAATTCAAGAGAAAGAACAATCAAGGTCCAAAGATAAAAAAAACCTCTGTGTCCACAGGTTCTACCTCTGGATTCAACCAACCAGGATCAAAAATATTTAAAAAAATAAAAATACAACAATAAAAAATAATACACATAAAAAATACAATAAACAACTATTTATATAGCATTTACATTGTATTAGTAATTATAAGTAATCTAATTTAAGAGCATTAAGTGTCTTTGCATGGTATTTTAAGATGATTTCAAGTCTACAGGAGGATATGTGTAGGTCATATGCAAATACTACATCTTTTTATATAAGGGACTAGACCTATTCGTGGATTTGGGTATAGGGTTAGGAGTATCCTGGAATGAATCCCCTGAAGATACTGAGAGACAACTGTAATCATAAATTTGAAATTGGAGTGGCCTTAATTTACTGTACTCCTCCTTCTGCCCTGAAAGTTCATTCAGAATTACAATAAAGCCCCCTTTTTAATATTCTTCTAGGTCAAAGAAGAAAATATGACATGTAGGGAGAAATATAAGTTGAAGGAAATAATGTGACATATTGCAACCACCGAATTGAATTTTCATTTGTCACTGCATTTTTCTCCTCCCAAGTAACTCTCACAGCCTATCAGAAATACAAATTGTTCTGTACATAAACTATTTAATGTCTTGTGAAATGAATTTAATATAAAACAAAACTCCTAGCAATATAGGAAGCACCTGCGGTTTGCAGAGAGGAGGTGTAGAGTATGTCCCATAGTGTATAATGAAAATATGAGCTAAGGATTTCATTCTGTTTTACTTTTGTTTATTTCCTTAAGTTTAGATATTTGCCATTCCTTTGCATGAGTGTCTTTGTGTGGTATTTTAATAATAAAAAATTCTAAGAAGAAAGAATTATTCAGTAGTATCTCAGATTTTTACTTTTGTTTATTTCCTTAAGTTTAGATATTTGCCATTCCTTTGCATGAGTGTCTTTGCGTGGTATTTTAATAATAAAAAATTGTAAGAAGAAAGAATTATTCAGTAGTATCTCAGATTTTTTTTTAATGTATTTAGGTGGTCCAGTGCCAAGAGATATTTATCAGAGAATTAAAAAACTTGAAGATAAAATCCTTGAATTGGAAGGCACCTCTCCTGAATATTTTCAATCTATAGTGAGTATAACTGTCGTAAAAATAAAAATGTTATTTTAGGATTCTTCATCATGGAACAATTCACTCATTTATCTATTTATGAAACATTGTTTTAAGAATTCAAAGATGAGTGAACACAGTCCTGTGTAGGGGGTTATCTAGTTCTTTAAAACTCCTCATTCTGAATATTTAAAAATTTAGAATTTTTAAAAAGGAATACTTTTATTATACATTACCCAAATTCTCAAACTTAGGCCATTTTTATGGCATTATAAAACAGCTTGAAGACTAGTTCATCCTCACTCTGAGAAAGCAAAGTCTTCCTCTGGGACCCTGTTTTATCCCTTCTGTTTCTTTAATCTCTGTCTTCACAGACTCTTTCTCTCAGCCCATACACCATTAGATTTCTCCGTACTAAGCAAACACATACCTCAAGCTACCACCCTTTTTCTTTACCTTAACCACCAGACTTTTTGAAAGGCTAATCTACATTCATCTAATTCCTCAACTCTAGCACTTATTCATTCATTCTTATTCCTTTTTCCAAGGGACACTAACAAATAGTGTCATGCAGATAAGTATCTTTCTTTGGCACATCAGCATTTTTCAGTCAATCAATCCTGAGCTCATTGTGTTATTTTCCTCAGTCTTCTGAGATGATTATAAATAAAACATCTTCCTTTTCCGAGTTATTTTTAAGCAGTGCCATATAAGAACTAAAATAAAAGTGAGGTTATAGTACTAAAATTTCTTTTTCTGAAAAATTATGCAAAATATCTCATATTAGCATGGATTATGTAAGTCACTGGTGAAAATATATTTAAAGTTCATTTTAGGTATAGAAGCAATCTTTTTGAAGTTATAGATTGGGTATTAGAGTGAGGTATAGAAAAGATATTTCCAGAGGAAGAAGGCAGGTCACATAATAAAACGGAGGCAGCAAGTCCTAAATGAAAAAATTCAGAGAAAGAGTTTTAGTGATTTACTGCTCTCAAATGTAAAATGAGGTTTATAAAAATACTAAGAGCTGAAGCAAGGATTAAATGAGATAATATCAATCAAGCACTTAGCATACTACCTAGCACATGGCAAAAACTTCAGCAAATATTAGCAATTATTCAGTTTCAGAATCTGAAGTATCTGTATAAATGTGGGTAAGTCACTCAATTCCTGTGGCCTTCAGATGTCTATTTTTAGAAAATGTGTTGTTTGTACTATGTAATTACAAAAGCCTTTCCAATTTTAGAATTATTCTTTGAATGTATCTTCCTTGAAAACTTCATAAAGATTTTATGACTTTTTCTTACAAAAGTTTTCCTATCTAAGCTACCTAGGTAATCCCTAGGAACGTCATTATTAATATGATTCTTGTTAACAATAGAGCTGATCTTACAAAAGAATGTGGTTGTGTTAGATGCTTCCAGTGAGACCTTGCTCCATCATTTACCTTTTCTCTCTGATTCTGATTTGTAAAAACTTCACATACAAAGTTGGTTAACAAAGGAACAAGCCCTTCACGTCATAATCTTTTTTGTTTATCCTTTGGTTTTTGATCTATTATTCGTAGACTAGAGTGTTTGGTTAAAGAAGTAGATTGCAGAGGACCTTTAATGCTATGCCCAAAAGTTTAAAATCAATTATATAGGCAGGGGCCAGGCAGGGATCTATTGAAAGCATTTGAGTAGGGAAGTGACTTGTGAAAGCTATACTGTTATGTGCCGCATAACTATGCTTCAGTCATCGACAAACCGCATATATGATAGTGGTCCCATAAGATAATTCCCATCACCTAGTGATGTCATAGCTATCTTAATGTCATGGCACAAAGCAATGCAACACAAAACTCATGTGTTTGTGATGATGCTGGTGTCAACAAACCTGCAAAGTATGTTGAGGATGTGTGCCTACAGGGTGACCCTCCCAAAGGTAGCCCAGACCCATAAAATAGACAAGCATTTGATACATTAGGTCAGACCCCAAGTTGAAAAGGTTGTTGTCTCCTTTAGAATTCTTGCATTTTTAAATGATTCCCACCCATCCCCGTAGCAAAATAATACTAAATAACAGTTAGCTAACACTCACTGTGTGCTGAGTGCCAGGCACAATCCCTACCTGTAATTTAATTTTCATAACTTTGTGGGAGTAGTAGTATTCTAATCCCCATTTAACATGTAAAGAAAGTGAGGCACAGAGAAACTTAGTAACTTAATTAGAGGGCCCATGCCATGCAACTAGTAGCCAATGGAGATAACAGGAAAATTCATTGCTGTTGCCTTTTGTAATACACTTTTGTACAATGACAAAATTGCCTAACAACATATTTCTCAGAACATATCACCATCATCAAGTGATGCAGGTCTGTATTTACAAAGATTTATCTGACACTGCTGTGGGAGGTAAATGAAAAGGGAGAAACTAAGGACAAAGAGACAGTATTAAACTAGCTTAAATGTGAAGGGAGATCCTGAAATAGGAACATGAGTGAGAATAGGAAAGGTTAATCAAGTAGGAAAGAAAAGTTGACAGATACTGATTGGATGTGGAAAAATAAAGCAAGGATTACTCCAGCTTCTCATTGGAAAAACGGTATCATCATTGATAGAAATAAAATCTAGAGGGGGAAATATTCTTATGGGAAGTGTGAACTTGAAGTCATAGGAGGATATTTAGGTAGAAATGTTAGGTAAGCTTTTTGAGATATAGGACTTATACTTGAGACATTTGTGAAGAATCTGTATAGAAGTGATAGTCAAAACAACAATGGGTATGAACACTGAGACTGACAGAGGCCTGAAGTCTGAAGCTTGGTGACTGCCTAACTTTAGGGACAGGAAGCATTATAAATGTATAAGTGGTAATTACATAATTTTACATATTTTTCCCTCGAAAGTATACAGAAGAGACTATATACATCATATGTAGCACCGTCCTCTAGCTTCTAACGTTAGAAAGTAAGGGAAATTTGAGTTCATTAAATTTCTTAAGGATAGTCAAAACAACAATGGGTATGAACACTGAGACTGACAGAGGCCTGAAGTCTGAAGCTTGATGACTGCCTAACTTTAGGGACAGGAAGCATTATAAATGTATAAGTGGTAATTACATAATTTTACATATTTTTCCCTCAAAAGTATACAGAAGAGACTATATACATCATATGTAGCACCGTCCTCTAGCTTCTAACATTAGAAAGTAAGGGAAATTTGAGTTCATTAAATTTCTTAAGATTTAAACTTTTTGGAAATTGAACTTATTAACTCTGAAAAGATTTTAATTGAAATGTGTTGATAGTGTCAATATAGATTCTCATGTAAAGGAATTCTAAATATGGGGCAGCTTCTTATAGTTGGATATTGATTGATTATCATGGGTAACGTTGAAGGATAGCATATGAAAAGGGGAACATTAATGGAAAAAAAGATGTAAATTGTATTTGGTTCATAAAACAAAAACAGGTTAAAGTTTTTTTCAATTTAAGAAACAGACATAAAACTCCCAAATAAGTTATAATGTATATAAAACGGGAATTATTACAAAGGTTAATACTTCTCGTACCTTTTAATGTAGTAGTTTTAAAGATCTTTACCCTTCACCTTAAACATGGAAAGATTTAATGTGCTAATGTTTCAGAATTTTAAGAGCATGGCTTAACAGACAGTGTAAAAAGATAGGAGCTTTATGAGTATTTTCAAAGAATTACTTACTGATTTTAAATTATGACACTTGAAAGCAGTAAGTATAACATGCTTTCCAAGTGTATTTCCTCAGCAGTTTGTTCATTTTATAGCACTTATCACTTATATGCTTACACATCAATTTTTCACACTATTTTCAATCTCTTAAGGGCAGCAACTATGTCTTGTTCATCTTTGAGCACACATTATGTAGTAGATACTGAGTAAATGTGCAAATGAGTTGGTAGGACTTGGTTAATAGTTAATTATTGGACTTTGGAAAGTGTGTTAACTTTGTCCAAAGCACTGACTAGGCATAATTTTTAGTCTGTAAAGGTAGCTCCTGGTTTTGAAGGGAAGGAAGTATTGAGGAAGGGGAACACTGAAGGCCAAGTTAGCATCATGTGCACAGGCTGTGTGTGTGAAAGTGCACAGTGGACCTGAAGCATGGATGAACAACTGGATCCAGCTATAAAATTAGATTGTAAACACATTTTGGGAGAGCCTTGAAAGTCACACTAACCAAGTGAACTTCCAGTGTCATCAGAGCACAATTCAGTTTTTGAGAAAGAGAGAAAAACCTGTAACTTTGGTCCCTGTGTGGTGGGATTATGAAATCTGAGTTGGAGAGAACTTGGAGTCAAGAAAACTAGTTTAAGAAATATGTCATAATGAGAAAAATGAAGGTCTGCATCAGGGAGGTGGGACTAGAAGGGAAGAAACATTTAGGACACTGCATGTGTAGAATCAGTTTGCCCTTTACAACTGATTAAAAAGATCATAGTTGATCATGGAGAGGCCTCCTTACCTTTGACTTTCCTTAGAGCACAAGTTCCCCGGACATACGTGTGTGTGATAATCATCTTTTCATTAGGACACAGGCATTATAAATGTAGCTATATATTACCTAAGGTAAAATAATGGGAGAGAAGAGATAATTTTGAATTATCTCCATCCAGCTAGTGTGCTGTGCTCTGAAACATTTTCTCTCACGTACCAAAATTTGTTAAAATTTTCACCTTTTGACTGAGATTTCCTTATATCTAAAACAAAATTTAAAGCTAGTCTCATGTATCCATAGTAGATAATCATGTTTATAAGTGTTCTACTTGTCATTATATTCTGCTCAGACCCAAAGTAAGCCCAATGACCACATTTTACATGTTTTTAAGTCATTGAGCCACTGATAGTCTCCTCATTCTGGTATTTTTCACTTTGGTTTCATGACACAGTGGTAGTCTGATTGCTTAATGACATAGAAACTATCAATATCCTACAGGTTAAATTGTTAGGAGGACAAAGGGAAGTATATTTTCATCAGGTGTATAAAAAACTGTCTCTTGGGAAGGTAGGAGACTAATTCATGGCCAAATTAAACATTAAGCCCTAACATGCCCATGGCGCCACCACAGGTATTCAGCTCAGTTTGGCAAAGGAAGGAGCGTATTTATCTGAGCTCTATTATTCCATATTTAATAATTCCAACACTTAATGATTTCCCCTTTATTATAACTATGGATAAGAGGCATACCTAGATGTTCTTTGAATCAGTTTTTGACACAAAAGGAAAATGTGAATTTTAACCTTCTCTTCTAAATCTCAAGGGTCAGAAATGCTCATGAGAAAATTTTGCCACTTACATTCACAGTTTACTAATTTGCTATTCAAATCTTGGGGTGTGAAACTGAAAACAAACTATGGAAAGAATTCATTAGGTCAAGGTTTAAAATGCTCAGTCAGTATGTCAGTGAGAATGTTGTCAAATTCAGCTGTAAGAAATTTGGCTAATTTGCTATTCAAATCTTGGGGTGTGAAACTGAAAACAAACTATGGAAAGAATTCATTAAGGTCAAGGTTTAAAATGCTCAGTCAGTATGTCAGTGAGAATGTTGTCAAATTCAGCTGTAAGAAATTTGGACTCAAACTGGCTTAAACAGTATGGAAATTATATTATAAAATAGGAAGTTCAATGATAGCACAGTCTTCCAGGTTAATTGACTCAGTGGCTAAATCATGACTGCCAAAGAATTAGGTTCTTTCCCCTCTCGGCTGTGCTTGGTGTTGGGTTCTTCCCCAGACAGATGGCAAGATGGCTACAGCACTTTAAGGTGTCTTATCCAGATACAACAGTGTCCAGGGGAACTGTCTGTTATGAGGGCTTTCTCTCAAAAGAAGTGAGGAAGCTTTTTCCATCAGCTCTCCTGTTAATCTCCAGCAGACCTCTCCTTATTCATTGGCCAGATTTGGGCCCATGCCCTTTTCAGTCATTGACAAGATCAGTGGAGTGGGATCAGCATTCCCTTGAATCACATAGAGAAGCAGTGGATAGATAGCTGTTTGCACAGACAACCACAGTGTCCATTACAGCCCGTCAAGGGTGTGTATGTGTGTATTTTCACTCCTTGTCCTGGTGTACCAAATTCCATTTTCCTCTATCGCTGCTTCACTTGTTCAGTATCCTGGGATGGAAAGGTTATAAAAGAGGAAACTAAGTAGAAAATCTCCAGAGCACCCCTTTCCACAGTCACTCAGAAGCTGGTAATTAATGGGAAAGTATGTGTTGCCAGGGACAAGCATGTTGCTGCAATGTTACTACCACGCATTTTTAATACCATCTTCAGAGGGTACCTTCCGGAATATAAAAAGGTGGATATCAATTGCAGGTGATGCTTGGTGAGTTTGTGGGCTCTGTTTCTATCAGGGTTCTCCTATTTTGTACAGTATTCTGTAAAGGAAAATTAATGCTTAGATTTTCTAAACATTGTTTACTTACCATTTTTTTTACTTTTAATCTAGAACTTTTCTGGAAAAAGAAGAAAAGTTCAGCCACCTCAAGTAAGTTAAGTCACTGCATTTTCATTTTGGCTTCTGAAGTAGTTTAATTAGTTTTATACCTTTCTTGTTAATAAAAATTTCTACTATGGTTGCTTTTAGGTCATACCGTGGTAAGATTTAGGACTGAGGAAAGGACATTGTAAACTCATATACTTGAATTAGAGAAATAATTTCATTTCAAGGTCATGGAGTGATTCCTCAGATGGGTTAAATAAGTATAAAAATCTTTATCCTGCTTTTTTTTTTTTCATGACCTGTAAGGGGATCGCAACCCTTGGCGTGGTGTCACCCGCACCGTGCTCAGCCAGTGAGCGCACCGGCCATCCCTATATAGGATCCGAACCTGCGGCCTCGGCGCTCCAAGCCCACTGTGCTCCCAGCGCTGCACTCTCCTGAGTGAGCCACAGGGTCGGCCCTATCCTGCTTTTAATAGAAAAATGTATCAGTTACAAAATGCTTAAAAATAATAAGTGCTCAAGTAACTTCAGTCTCTTCCCACTCTCCCCTTTTGTGGACACTTCTAATTAGTGGCATCTAAATAAAAGAAATGGGCATTAGGCAGAGGTTGACTTCAGCTCACTCCTGTATAAAGTTTATTGGTTGAATCTTAAATAATAAGGTTTTTCTAGCCTTTAGTGGTGGTAACGTAAATTTAAAGTTGGGGAAAACTTAAAAAATAAGCCAAAAATTTTTTACAGAGTAGCATATTACTTATTTTTTTTTTTGTTAAATTTTGAGTAAACTTTTTGAGAGCAGCCCTTTTAGTCCAGAAGTAGTTGATTGCAGCTGACCCTGAAAAGAGAATTTCTAGGTATTTTAAGCAGTTAAGCTAATTCTAAAGTTTAAATTTTTTTACTATTGATTATTAGAGTAGTCAGGTTTTTAAAAAAAACAAAAGGTTCAGAAGAGCTTAGTCATTAGGAAAGAAAAAGAATGTAAGAAATATTTAAGCCTTACTATTTTATGCATTTAAATTTATGATAAAATCAACATAGGTAGTTGCTCAATTTTAAAATTATTCTCATAAAGAAAAAAATTTTATCATGCTATTGAATATTTTAAATATTTGTAGTTCATTTGGCACTTTATTTGCATTATGATACTTCAGAGTTTTATTCAGCAATTTGTGTTCTAATTGTTTACAGCAGAACTATTCACTGGCTGAACTTGATGAGAAAATTAGTGCCCTGAAACAAGCCCTGCTCAGAAAATCAAGAGAAGCAGAATCCATGGCAATTCACCACCTTCCATGAAAAACTCCTCTTCTCCTTGTCATTTTGCTTTTGTATATACACATGTAACTTACACTGTAATTAAACAGATATATATTTATCAGTGTAGACTTGTGAAGTCAAGGTTTACTTTCACATGAGTCCAGAGTTTTGAAATAATGAATGCATTGAAAATAGCATTGTTGGAATTTATTCCCTTCTGTTTTAAAGGAGGTACAATGGAAATTGAAAAACTTAATTTGAAAGTACATCACATGAGTCCAGAGTTTTGAAATAATGAATGCATTGAAAATAGCATTGTTGGAATTTATTTCCTTCTGTTTTAAAGGAGGTACAATGGAAATTGAAAAACTTAATTTGAAAGTACATTTTTTTTTTTTTGTGGACCACAGGAAGATTTATTTTGCTAGTGATATTTAAAAGGACTTTATATTTGTACCACTAGTGTTAATCATTATATTAGTTTAAATCAGTTCTTTGTATGTAATAGGCATTCAACAAAAATTTATTGACTGAATGAATTTTAAATGAATGCATAAACTTGTTTTCTTTATTTTTCAGCTGTCAATGTTAATGTAAATAAACAGTAGATCCAATTTTATCCCTTTATTGATTGTGTGACCTTGAGCAAGTTACTTAATTTCTCTTTGTGCCTTAATATCCTAATATGTAAAATGGGAATGATAGTAGTAGAACCTACTGCATTGATTCTTATGAGGAATAGGTGAGATTGTGCATTACAAGTTTTGAAACTGTCCGAAGGGAACGCTCAAAAAATGTTAGCTATTATTCTATAAAACCAGGTCTGTCTTTGGACAGTGATTAAGATGTTACAAAGAAATTACAGTGCCTCTCCATCAAGAGCCTCACCTTTACAATACCCCAATCATACTAGGCAGTACATATATTGCCATAGTTGCAAATTAAACACTTAAAAGATGCAGCTACAGTTATGTTGAAAGGCTTCCTGGAGCAGCTGTTTAGGTCAAGAATTGTTTGGTTGAAAGAATCAGAAATCTACCTAAAATAGCTTGGAAAAGAAGAGTTGTTAAGAAGAGTCAGAAACCTAGGACTTAATTGCTGGAAGTAGAGCTAAACACTGTAGAATCTAGAAAGTCACCAGCAATTACTCTCTCGTCTCTGACTGCCCCTAGCTCTGTTTCTTTTTGTCTCTGCCCTATTCATGTTTTCTATTCTCTTCCCTCAGTATCTCTTTTCCTCTGTCTCCCTCTCCCTTCTTTTTCTCTTACACATACTTATCTGTGCATATACTTTATTCTCTTACTGTGGACTGGTTTCTTTGATGGCCTCTTCATTTCTGCCATCCTGCATTGGGTGACAGGTTAGTCCTGTCTCTATAGCCTTAGCTGCTTTGGTGCCTTTGTGCCTCTTGTGCCTTTGAACTGCTATGTTGCAAACTCTGAACTCAACTCAGTAGAACTTCACAACTCCAGTGACCACTGCTTACCCGAGTCTTTGTATCTCTTAGAGATTAAATCTCACTCAGTGTGATCAGGCATCTCAATCAGTTGTGGCCAGGATGATGGGGCAGGACCTCTTCACAGGAATATATGGTGCACACACAACCTTCTACAACTGTTTGTGGCAGCATTAAAAATGTGGTCACCTCGTGAAGAATTAGGGCATTGGAATTATTCCCAAGAAGCAGATGTGGGTTAGGTCGATTCCACTAATGTCTTATGACTGTATTTCATCTCTGCAGAGCAAATTCATTCTTCAAGATATTCTTGCCAAACATGATCCAGTATTATAGGTGTAGCTATCAATGCCTGCTCTACAGTCTTCATCTGGTCTATGTGATCACCATCCTGTCAGAATGACATCCTCCAGGTTTAGTGACATTTTACTACCAGCACATCAGCAATACAATAGGGAAAATGACAGTAAAAATTACCAATTAAAAAAAGTGGGGAAAAAACCTAGAAAACAAAATCAGAAACCACTCGTCACTTATTCCAGACCAATAAATGCCATGAGTCTGCTAATGTCCTCCCTTGGCAATAGAATAAGTTCCTAAGTCAAGTCTGACAGTCCCAAGATCTGCCTGTTAGAAGGATTAACCTTTTTCCATTGTCCTTCAGGCCTGCTCTTCTGAGGGACATAAGAGAGGAGTCCTCAGTCCACTTCATTAAGTATTGTCTGGTGCCAGCATCCTTTCCCACTTGAGTCTGGAGCCTGCAGAAGAGGCCAGGTCTCAACACCATGTTGGTATGAGTTGGTATGGGTACTTGTTCAAGACTAGGGCTCTTCTGGTGATAACTACCCCAGGACTTTAGTGGGCTTTCAATCATTATCTTGAGTGTGTCATTGAAAGATGATTTGTGGGTAAATTTGGAATTTACCAGGAATTTGTGGGGTAAATTTGCTCCATTAATCACCAGGCTGCCTAATGACCATTCCTTCAGAATTTTTGTTATTCACCTCTTACCTTCATTGTTTCTTACTAATGGTCTTGTCTTCAAAAGAATAAAGGAAGACAAGTGATTGGAAAGAGGCTTGCTTGCAGGGACAGGAAAGCACCTCGTCTCTAGTCTGTCCCTATAAATGCCTCCTCTCCACAGGTTACATTCCAGTCTGTGAAAGTGTTTCACAAGGGATTGGGGTGAGGGAGGGCCAGGTTGAACATAAACATGTTTATCCTGTGGGAAAGGGCTGGCCTTCCCACTGTTCTGGCTACTGCTAGATATTCTCCTTTTAATTGCTGGGCTTCTGAGCTTTATCAAATTCATGGATAATATCTGGACCTGGACTTCAGCAATCTCAGTGGAAAGATTTCCCTTTATGAAATATAGTTATGCAATTTCCCTGCTTTTCCCTCTCTGATTTTAACCAGACAACCTGGACATGTGGTTTGGGTCCCAAGAGATATTTGGTAATTGTTTACCTACTTTGTCATCACTTACCTCCAAAGTACAAGTTTTCCATGGAATAGGGAATCTTCTCTGTCTGTCCCTCATGTTCATCCCTATCCCTCTTTGCCTTAACTCCACAGCTAGTTTTACATTTTCACACAGGATCTGTTACTTGGGCAATCCCATTCCTGGCATTAATTTCTATTTTAGGGATTAGTTGTTTTCAAGAAAGAGGAACACAATTCTAAAGAAAAGGGATAGTATTATAAAGAATGTGAGGAATCTAAATTGCAGGCAATTTAGCCAGGTTTGGTCACTGTTTATTCCTCCCTGGCCACATTGTCTGGATTCTGCACACCTGCTTCATTCCCTTTCTACCTTGGTGTATTAGTCCATTTCTGTTGCTTATAACAAAATACTAAAAACTGGGTGATTTATAAAGAAAACGAAATGTATTGCTTACAGTTTCTGAGGCCGGGAAGTCCAGAGTCCATCTGGTGGTGGTGACAGTGACCCGGGAGTCTTACATTGCAAGATGGTGGAAGCAGAGAGAGCAGAGAAAGAGACTAACCCCATTTACTTTAAAGCCCTTGGGGGACAAGTTTTTAATACCTAAAACTTGGAGGACACAATTCAAGCTTCAGTGAGTTTTGGGGGGACATAATTCAATCAAGTACACTTGGCTTCTCTGAAGATGTGTTCTTTCCTGCTTCCTTGTCATTTGGAAGGCTTTGGGCTCCATAGTATTGCTAGTTCTGAGCTAGCCCTTTGACTTCAGTGTCCCCTGTTTGTTATGATTCAAAAATATTGGAAAAGAAGAATTCATATTCTCAACTTGAGTCAACTGTCCTCCTCGGAACAACTACTGGTAGATTGAGTGGTATGGTCTCTAAGAACAAAAATAGCCATATGTGCCAAGCTTTTGGGGGAATGACGGGCATTTCCAACAAAGAAAGCAGGTCTGGGAACCCTGACTCTGTGATCTAGACTGATGAACATATGAAGATGTGTTCTTTCCTGCTTCCTTGTCATTTGGAAGGCTTTGGGCTCCATAGTATTGCTAGTTCTGAGCTAGCCCTTTGATTTCAGTGTCCCCTGTTTGTTATGATTCAAAAATATTGGAAAAGAAGAATTCATATTCTCAACTTGAGTCAACTGTCCTCCTCGGAACAACTACTGGTAGATTGAGTGGTATAGTCTCTAAGAACAAAAATAGCCATATGTGCCAAGCTTTTGGGGGAATGATGGGCATTTCCAACAAAGAAAGCAGGTCTGGGAACCCTGACTCTGTGATCTAGACTGATGAACATCTTTAAAAAGTATTGTTTTTTGGCAATGCAGATACAAGAGGAATCAGAAGTAACGATAAACTAGAACCTAAAATAAATGTCTTTAAAATCTGGAATCACTGTTTACAAGATGGATATGCTCCAGATTCATTCATGGCAGGTGGTAAACTATTAGTTACTTTCAACCAGCATTGCTCATTTCAAGTATATATACCTTCGAAAGCAAAAAAGTATGAAATAAAAATTGTCTATTATATTTAAATTCTTACTAAAATGTCTAATGAAGTTGTTTTTTAAACTGTTTATGCTCCTGTGAGTTATACGACAAAATATATTTTTAAAAAATTTTACGATTTATTGAAACTAGATGGTAAATAGTACTGACTTATTCCTGGCATATTGAGTGTTAACATATATGTTTAAAATCTGAAGATCTTTGTAAAGTCCATGTGCCTAATATTAAATTTTTAAAATAGTGTCAAAGTTTTAAAAAATCTATAATATATTGAGGCGACATAAAATATCTTTCAAAGATTTATTTTTTAAAAATGGCTCTAAGAAACTTAACTTGATGTGATGGCTTCCCCATACACACTTCCCGTAGGAAACTTTAGTTGAGAGGAATGAATGAAAGTGTGAGAAAATTCTTGAACTGCAAAATGTTCACATGCTTCTGATTTTTTTAAAAAAGTATACATTTAAGTAGCTGGCAAACTGCTTTTTCTTCCTAAAAAGGAGGAATATTTATTTGGTGATAAAAAAAAATGAGCTATCAAATCATTAAGAGACTTGGAGAAAATTTAAATGCATACTACTTAGTGAAAGAAGCTAATATGAAAAGGCTACTTACTATTGTACAAATCCCAACTATATGACATTCTGGAAAAGGAAAAACTATAGAGCTAGTAAAAAGAGCAGTGATTGCCAGGGGTAGCTGGGGGAGGGGGAGGAGGAGGAATGAACAGGCAGAGCCTGAAGGGTTTTTAGGGCAATGAAAATATTCTGTGTGATACTATAGTGATAGATGCAGGTTGTTATACATTTAACCAAACCCACAGAATGTACAATATCAAGAGTGAAGC